ATATATATATATATATCCAGCAGTTTTATTCAGTCTCTGGTCAGATTCTTGTCTCCTGGTTTTGTTTTGTTTCACTTCCATTTTGTGATTAGATGCAACCAAATTAATGACTTATGTCTTTACAAACTAGCTTTAGCTTCTTTCAACACACGAGGCCTTTACTGTATTTTACTGCTACGCACTAACTTGTGTAAATAAATCATAACTCCGCAGGAGTTTTCATGTCTTGAATTGTCCACAGGCAAAAATAAAAGATTCTTGTCACAGTCAGTAGGTTTGATAGACAGCTATTTTTTTCCATTCCTTGTTTGCATCCTTTTGTGGCCAGCCCTCCATATCCACATGATGGACACGTTGGATGAACCTATGAATGAAGAATGCCTTGTAGTTTGGTTGTRTAATCTGAGCCGGTCTGCATATGGAGCCAGTCCAGGGGGCTGATCCAAAAACTTAACAAAACACTTGAGTAAAGGAAGCTTGATGCTGTAATGTGGGGGGGATATGATTTATAAAATGCTCCTGGTGGAAATAACTGGGAACAGCTGATGCTCGGAGCGACAGGATTCTGACATCTTCTGTTTCTGAGGAGGAGGAGGAGGAGGAGGAGGAGGGGATTGGAGAGGAGAGGCTCTGAGGGAGGGTGAGCGGGTGGAAGAAAAGGCGGAACAAACCGGTGAGCTCGGATGCTGTAGCTGCTCGCCCGCACTGCAGATTAACTCCTTCCGCGCCGGGAGAAGCTGCGAGACGCGGTGAGTGGATTCTTATTTTATTTTTTCTTTCCATCTTCTCCCTGCCTGCACATGGCATCATGCTGAACAAATGCAGGTGTGTGTGTTGGTTAACCTGAGCTAGTTTAGACAGACGGGAGCTGAGCATCACACACACTTTCTGAGTCAGACAGGGAATCGATGCGCTTGATGCTCAGCTGCTCGCTGCCGGCTTTTCTGGGAGCTGTCCGCCGCTCAGGTGCTGAAACATCTCGTCATCTCCCGGCAGCTGGAGCGATGTGATCACTGGATCCCCCCACCCACCTCCCTCCTTGCATCCTGAACTGATGGACCTCTACAGAAGACAGCAGTGAAGAGTCCAACCTTACAGGACATGATGATCCTTTCATAAAACATTTTTGTGGGGGTGAGGGGGAGGGAACAAAAAAAGAACAAAGGGGGATTCTTGGTTTTGTTCTCATTGGATTATACMCCAGTCCGATCCGATTTGCTCTGTGCGCCAGAGAACAAGTGGCATTTTCCCTCCTGAAACTTCTCTCCTCCTCTGCCATCATCTAATTAATAATTGAATGGAGCTCCTTGTCCTGCAGCTTCAGTCCTAAAGCCCACAGCTCCTCATCTCCACAGCTGGCTGCACTGGTCAGAGCCAGGCGGGACACTGAGCAGCCAAAGAATGTGGGAGTCCTCGTGCAAACACCATCACCCAGCTGAGGGGGGACATAATCAGTCAGGCTGGAGCCCAGACAACAGTGCTGCTCCTAAAACCTGGTCCTGCTCCTTTAAATCTAAATTATGCAAACTTTTCCTAGCCTCTGATCATCCTGGAGGCAATCTTTTTTAGGATGATGATGAAGTTGGTGATGACCAGCCTGTGTGCTGAGATGGAAAAGTGATATGCATTGTTATCCCCCCCCCCCCCAAAAAAAAGCAAGAACGTTTTGTTCTCTATTTAAGGAGCAGTAATTGCTACATGTCTGAATTAAAGTGCTCAGTTGATGCTGCGAAGGGTTCCTCTCTCATCATGTGTGCTTTAAATCTGACTGGAGTGSACTAATTGCTTCCCTCACTACTGAAAGCACCGACTTAAGAGTCTCCTCTCAGAGTTATTAAATATATGTTACAGTCTGAGAATAGAAAGCCTGGGTTTTTCAGGATCTTATATGAGCTGTGCTTCCAGTAGAATAAGACCAAAAGGGAGATGAAGGTGGAAAAAGAGTTGGAGGGTAAAGGACAGGGAGGGACGCACTCATAAAGGACGTTCATGTAACCTTCATGTGAAGTGAGCATGCAACAGATCCATGCTGCAGGTTTTTATCGTGCTTATTCAGTTAGACAGTTAAGATGTGAATTTTCGACTGATTTCATTGATAAATGCCTGAGGTCACCTGTCTGTGTGAACATTCTGTCCCTCAGGGGTTATTTGCATACGTAGTGTAGAGGGGAGCAGAGGATGAAGGTATGATGTCAGTGTTGGTGTCACAGAGTAAACTGAGTCATATTTCGGTTTCCTTTATTTGCACAGGTCCCACAGAGTAAACTTGCCCTGTATTCGTGGTGTATTGAGGGCAAACATATTTTTAACAAGACAGTACCTTAGAAGTTTTTGTTATTATAGTTTTTAAGAGGAAATTATTAGACAACATGATTTCTTTTAATTATACAGGACTTTGGAAAAGTTTTAACTTTAAGTTTTCAGCTGGGAGCTCGCTGCCTGCAAATATACACTCACAAAACAGATTGTTGGATTTACTTAAGTTACATCAACTGAGTTGAGTAAATGTAACTTTTCAAAGAAAATGTAAAAGTTACATTACTTTTACTCAATTCAGTTGAGTGGAAATTGTTGAYAYACTGGTTAAATGAATTTAACRCATCTGTTTTTTTGAGTGAAGGCACMAACATTTTATCTTTAGTATTTTTCATAGATTCAACTAAAGAAACAGCCACAAACCGTGTCTGTCAAGATGATAAACAAAGTGCCTAAAAATCTATGCAAACTAAGTTGACATTTTGTAGTTTGTGTGGCTTCATGTCTCGAGTTCAGGAGGTTATTCATATCTGATATTTTAATTTCTGCAACACATTCAAGACATATTAGGAGCATAATTTAAAAAAACATACCATAACACAGCAAAACATACCATAAACATAATAAAAGACTGCTCGAACCTTTTGTTCAGTGCTGTTTGTTCAGCAAGATAAACATATTTGAGCTCTCTGTGCAGCACATTTATAACTTTTCTGTTCCTAACTTGTCATTTATCTTTCATAAAAGGATCAGCGATACCTTCTCCTTAACGAAGCTCATGTATCGACTCCTCAGCCTTCAGCCACTCTGTCCTGGACGAACAAGAACACCTCCTAAACTCAGCTCATTCCTCAACCTGCCACACACAGAGCTTTTGGACTGAGACCAGTCTCAGAGATGCAAACAGGCCGGGCTCGGAGAAACGAGGACTTCTAAACGCCGTGTCTGCTGAGCTGCAGGAGAAGCCCTCAGAGCTCTGCGACCCACTACTGTCTCCCGTATGTAGAGCGGGGCTGCGTCTGGCCACGCCTTCCTGCTTGCATGTCGGCTCCACGCTGTTCTGATGAGAATCTGACCCCAGCAGGGAGAGTCCTGTCTCGCCTCTGTCCCAGCGGGGGGTTGTAGAGTCCACCCCTTTGTGTTCCGCATGCAGAACATCCTCGACCAGAACTTAGACATGGCCACGGCACTGCTCGCGGGCGAGAAGCTGAAGGAGCTCATCTTGCCGGGCTCCTCTCAGGACGAGAAGGGAGGGGCCCTGGCCGGCCTGATGGTGCAGCTGAAACTGGAGCTGCCCTTCGACCGCGTGGTCACTATCGGGACAGTCATCATCCCCATCCTGCTGGTCACCCTCGTCTTCACAAGGAACTTTGCAGGTGAGGGGCTCGGCCACCAGAGGGGGAAGGGGGGTTCATAAACAATACAACAGCTGTTTGAGCAACTAAGAAGGGTCAGATTTGACATTTACTCTTGTCTTTTGTGTCATTTGCTGCAAAAACAATGGTCGCACAATTCTTTGTTGCTTGTTCAGGGAGGTTTTTCAACACCTGACATTTAAAAAAGATGCACAGGGAAGGAAAAGAGAAATGAATGGAATGAACAGAAATTTGAAGAAACATTAAGTTTGGGATGGACTGATGGGTTTATAGGTAATGAAGAGTAAGGCTGGAATATATGAGATAAATTAGCTTGTTGAGGAGTCAAGATTTCAGCTGCAGTGTTCAGTCAGGTACGAGGCAGTGTTTAACTTAAGCAGCAAATCGATGTAGGCTTTTTATTTTATTTGTAGAAGCAGAACAAGGTTATTTATTTTCTGATCACATACTTAGCACAATAAGTAAGGACATTTGTGTTTGGTAATTTTTTTTCTTAGATGTTACAATGCTTCTTGGCAGTAAATCTGTTCATTTTCCTTTTAAATGGTGCCACATTTGTAAGGAATATGCATTTGTGGGATGAGCCATCAGGTCCCTGCAATACTTATTGCCAAAAAGCATTGCTACAACTAAAAAAAAACTCTACCAGACCCAAATTACTCTACTGTTTTACTAAGTGTAGATGTCACAGATCTGAACTCACATGAACAAAAYGCTCCTGCGTAAAAAGAACAACAAAGTGCAGCGATCAAGTTTGACAGGAAGGGATGTTCTTACTTCCTCTTCACCACTGACTGATGTTATCATTTCAGAAAGAACAACTTTAAGGTACTCAAAATTACAAAACAGAGACAAATAAAAAATAAAAAATAGAAAATAGTATCCTCTTTTGAGATTTAGACTAAGATCATCTTATATTAAGAAATGATGGAAGTGTATGTTTTGGTCAAACATATGCTGATGTCATACTCCAAGTAAGCTACTACCACATTGAACTGTAATCTCTGTAAATTTGACTAACCTATAACTTGAAACAATTTTGTCAGAAATGATGAAAAGCCTGGTTGTTTATTTCTTTCTGTGCTTTCTGCAGAGGAATCTATCTACTGTTACACACCACACAACTTCACCCGAGACCAGGCACTGTATGCGAGAGGCTACTGCTGGACGGAGCTTCGCGATGCTATCCCTGGCGTGGAGCCTCACCTTTGGCCTTCTCTGTTTGAGCACAAGTTCCTTCCCTAYGCCCTGCTGGCGTTCGCTGGAATCATGTACATCCCCGCTTTGGGCTGGGAGTTCCTCGCCTCCACGCGGCTCACCTCGGAGCTCAATTTCCTGCTTCAAGAGATAGATAACTGCTATCACCGAGCTGCGGAGGGCCGGGCCCCTAAGATCGAGAAGCAGATCCAGTCTAAAGGGCCTGGCATAACTGAGCGGGAGAGGAGGGAGATCATAGAAAATGCAGAGAAAGAGAAGAGCCCTGAGCAGAATCTGTTTGAGAAGTACCTGGAGAGGCGGGGCCAAAGTAACTTTTTGGCTAAGATTTACCTGGCTCGGCATATGGCTATCATCTGCCTCAGTTCTATCCCCATTTCCTACCTGAGCGCCTACTACGCCCGCCAGAGGCAGAACGAGTTCACCTGTGCGCTGGGCGAGCCCCCAGACATTAGCAGCTATCTGGAGCTGAAACTCAGGGTCAACTGTAAGCTTCCCGCCGTGCAGCTGCAGCGCATCATGGCCGCAGTGGACATAGCTCTGCTCTGCACCATGAACTTCATCATCCTGCTCAACATGCTGCATCTGTTCGTGGTGCGCAAGTCCAACTTTGTGTTCGACAAGCTGAATAAAGTCGGGATCAAAACGCGCAGGCGCTGGCAGAAGTCCCCGTTCTGCGACATCAACATCCTGGCTATGTTCTGCAACGAGAACAGGGATCACATCAAGTCTCTGAACCGGCTGGACTTCATCACCAACGAGAGCGACCTCATGTACGATAACGTGGTCAGGCAGCTGCTGGCTGCGCTCGCACAGTCCAACCACGATGCCACGCCCACTGTGAGGGAGTCTGGGATACAAACAATCGATCCCAACTTAGATCCTTCTGATCTCGCAGTGGGAGAGATGGCCGGGGAGCCGCTGGTTATCAAAAGGCCTCGGAAGAAGATGAAATGGATACCGACGTCAAACCCTCTTCCTCAGTCATTTAAGGTTTGGCAGAATCATTTCACTATAATCTGTTGTGACTCAGCCTTCAGCAAACATTAATGATGATGAAAATTCTCAATACAAGCCCAGCTATTGCTCACTTTTGTTGCAATTTAGGATTTTCAAATGACGCACTGCTTTAACTGTTGCTTATGTCCAGTCAAACTGTAACACAATTGTGTTTTTGCTCTCTTTCTCTTGTGAAGGAACCACTTACCCTGACACGTCTGGAAAACAACACCAAGCCTGAAAAACCCAAACCGCTGAGACGCAAAACTGTGGCAGACAGCCTTATAGCACCACTTTTGGATAGCAAAAGCACACAACACCCTGCCACAAAAGGTCTGCAAAACTCTGTGTTTGGCATTTTTATTAGAAACACATTTACAGTATATTATAATACAATGATTATGTTATGTTAATTCTGATTATCTAAATTCTAGGAAACTTTGATTTTATATAATTGTTTGTATGTTTTTTTTACAAAAATAGGTTTAAATGACCTTATGAGAGTATTTTTTTTCTCACATTGCTGCTGTTCTTTTCCAGCTCGTGCCATTTATTGATGTGAGATGATTTTAGTGTAAAACTCTGGCATGAAAAAGTGAGCAATATGTGTTCTAGGCCCTTAATTTCAAAATGAACTCTAGATAACTCTTCACACAGTGCCTGATGTTTTAGTAACTTACAAATAGAGTAAACTGCTGCAAAAAGTTATGACATTTTTCTAAACCTACCGAAGGAAATTTTGTGTATTATTAACTAAATTTAAGATCCAGTCTTGGATTTTCAGTCAAATGCTTTAAACAGAGTCAGTGTGTCTTGTCGATATGAGGCCCTTCTTTCTGCATAAATAAAGCATGTTTTACATTCCAATGTCTGACGTAAAAGGTACCGCCCCCTGGGGTGTGACCAGGAAGTTAGGTTTACATGTGACTTTATGGGGGTGATTCGACATTATTCTTTTTAGAGCTGCCTGAACAGCAGCTGAGAGGGTTTGTTATTAGTTTAYTTTTCTGATAAAACCCAAGGCCTCAAACTCACAGGCCCTGCCTGGTTGACAGGCTGTGAGCTAATTGAATGGAGTCTTTTTTAATAAAGCGTTTTAGAAGAGACTAAACTGGTTTTCTGCAAATTTATTCCGACTTTCAATTCTGGTTATGTTTTTCTTACGCTACAATAAAAAAAATTGAGTGGCAGACAGTTTTTAGTACACTTTTGTGTGGATGATCTTGCCTTCCTGCGACTCTGAAAGATTTGTTTTTCTTTTTAATTTACAGACTCAGGTACGATGGAGAAAAAGCACGCGCGAAACTTCTCCCTGGACGTTCACCCGTATATGTTGACAAATCGTAAACCCAAGGTGGAGGCTGTAATCACAGAACCTATAACATCAGAGCACAACATGGATACAGTTTACCTTGAAGGCACACACACTATTGTTCACGTGTCTTGTCCAATAACAGGTAAATATATTATTTTTACCTACTACTTTTTGGCCATTGTATCATTATTTTTTTTTAAATTGTGACACTTTTTAAAATCTCTCTGTGATTCATGTGTTTTCAGAGGCAAAGATTTGCTCTCCGGAGTCAACCAACACTGCCTTTTCTACACTGCCCACCACCACATATGTGAACGGAGTGAGCCCAAACCCTCCCTCTAGTGAGGATCCACTCAGTCCCAAGTCCTCCCCTCATCAAATGGAGCCCCTCACCCAAACAGAAAACCCAGCGCCTCAGCCACCACCCCTGACCAAAGCCCCCACACACCAGCTGCTCAGCATTCATCACACTCTTTTTGAAGAAGAAGAGGATGCAGAAAACAGGAGGGCCAGGCTGACGGAAAGACCTGGGGAGCTCATTGCTGCTGGAGAATGTTAAAGAAGACCTGGACTCTACAATCACGACTGCAATGTCAATCAAACCCCACAAAACAGTCTCTTCCCCCTTCGTAATAACTCGCACACTTCTTTTATTATGGGTTAGGCTGACTGACAGGCGGAAATCCAACAGTAAGAAAAAAGAATGAACAATGGTTGGAAAAAAACAACAACTTTCATAACAGAAAATGTATAAGGTGTGTTATTTGCTAGTTCTGACCAATGTATTTCTGTAGGAAATGATGTCTCGTTCACGTCTCAGGATGGCTGTGTGTGTGGCTTGTTTAGCTGATCACGCACCAATGAAACCAGCAGTGATTTAATTCAACAGGGTGCTACAGTGCAGGGTCAAACAGCTAYACAGGAATGACAGGAGAATAATGAATGAGAATCAAAAAGTGGTAGACACCTTATTTATGCGTTATTACAAGGAGGACCGCATTCTGGCTTCAGACAAAATGTWCTTTAAACACATGATAACGCTTTGTCCCTTTATCCCACTATAGCCAAGTAGAACGGTAGCTCATGCAATACAGTTGTTGAGATCTGCACAGTTATTATGCAAAAGATCACAATATATTTGTGGCAATAATGTATGCGCTTTGAACATCATTCTTCACTAAATGCTTTACATCTGTAGTCACTGTATGTGGGATATTTAAAATATACARTTGTGTGGCTTTTCACTATCATTTCATCATTGCTATGGATACTTGACTATATGTRCACCTGATTATTAAAAAGGCACATTTAATTGTGAGACAAGAAGGAGCTTCAACGCAGTTTGGAGAACGTCTCTAAGAGAACGAGATGTTGAACTGTTCCTCATTCAAGAGTTCAGTGAGATGACTAAGCTTTTTGATTATGTCTTTCTGACACGCAATCTACAGTTATTTCTGTAAAMAAAAATCACACGACACAAGTAGAATTTTAGGGCTGATATTTGTAGAAAAACCATCACAATACTTAAAATATTACTTTTTATGTAAAACAGTGCGAACAAGGGACTAGGTGAAAGAGTTTCTCCAAATAAATTTCTGCACAAGATTACAGGAACTTCAATAAAGGAAGTATTTACTGACACGTCAACATGACATCTGTTATGGAAAATATTAATAGTGTTGTTACAGGATACTTAGGTCTAAACATACCTGAGTCATTTTTACTTTGAGGGCATTGAACACAGTGACAAAACAGCACTCTTTTCACTCCAACCAACTTCTAACGCTGCCTCAAAATCCCCTTGTAATAATACTCAAGCACACTGAATGCATCCTCAAGCACTTTAAAACTAGTAGCACTAGTGAGTGTGTGAGCACGTTGCAACACAGCTCTGCCTAAAACTCATTTTCTGTGTTGGTTTTCATATTAGAGCTGTTTATTTTTTATTTAATTTTATTTTTTTGAGGAAAACTCTGATAGTCTGAATGCTAGTGAACACTCTGAGTACAGACTTTGATTGTAACCTGTGAACTGCTGTAGTACCAATAAATTAAACACGTTTTCTCTAYAAAACTAAACCTGCAGTGGACTGGAAGTCAATGACTACATGTACCAGAATGCACCGCGGCGGTCAGTAAGCGAGCACTGCTTTCGCTGTTGCATTGGCGAAGAGCAGTCCGATAAGCCGGCTGACTGTGTAAGTAAAACGCGTTTATTTTTGCACATTTATCATTTTCGTCACTTGACATCGCGTTTTACAAAACMGCAGAATTCATGGTGAAGTTATTTTATTTTCTCTATTTATAATTTTACTTTTTTTTGGGAGGTGGGAGTAGCTAGCTAACATTAGCTTGGGTTAGCCGCAGAAACCGTACTAGTCAGTTCACTTGTGCCACAGCTGGTAGTAACATTTAACTGGTTTCCAGACTTTTCTTTCGAGCAGTTTACTTTTTCATTAGCTGTCAGCCTTCCAACATTCAGCGGTAGTGCAATGGCGTCGTAGGAGATAACGTTGTCGATTAGATTTAGCGTGTAGATCAGTGATAATTACTGCGTTTCAACTAAGCTTTCCTTTAGCCAAGCCGGGTAGTTATTGCTGTTGCTCAACAAGCAACGTCAGCAGTCAAAGAATGTCCGGCTGTCAGTGAACGCCTCACTGTGTACCAGGTGTGGATCAATATTTACTCTGTTCTCTGTTCCCCACTCAGTGTTTAGCTCTTCAAACATCAACATGGACCAAGACAACAATTCAGAGGTAAGGAGAAGCACGTTTTTGTGAAGTTAATAATAAAGCCATAAATTATTATTATTATTATTATTATTATTATTATTATTTTGTAAGTATCATAGAGGAGCAGAATTTTTCAGCCTGAGACGCTAAGATGTTCTTTCTTAATCACAAATGATCAGCAGATATCCAGTCTTTCTCAAGACAGAGAGACTTAGTTCTGGATTAATCTCCTAATCTCAAAACAAAGCTGAACATGCCTAAAGTGTTTAATATTGTCTGCTGGTGTGACGTTCCTCAGAACGAGTCTGTCGGCCCACCAGGGGACCATGCCGAGGAGAACCCTCCTTGTATACCTCCAGGACTTGGTATGCTGTGGTTATATTCTCGCACTCTTTTAAAGATGTTGTGTAAAGTGTTCTGGATTGCATCAGAGCCCYGGGGATGACGTGATAACCTTTTTAAAAGACGTGACTGCATGTTGTGTAATGATCTGTGTGGCGATAAGCATGACTTCAGTTTTAATTTTGCTTAAATTTCATCTTGTGTTAAAACTGTAGCATGCTATCAAGCTATTTTTACTTTAACTAAACTGTTTTGTAAAAACGAAAAAGTCTGTGATGCATCTTGAGTCAATCAACACCCATTTTTACCTGCRTGAAAACTGATACAAATAATCATAAATGGCTACTTTTTTGTAATTAACTTGTCTGACTTTATTTGAATACTTATTAAAAGGTTTTCACAAAAGTATGTTTATCATCACACGTTATTTTCTGTAGAAATATTTGAATAATTTTCTAAAGAGAAATGCATCTCTCATAGGGGGGTGGATGCTTTTGTGTCAGACAAATGTGCCTGTTTTTCTCACCTTCTCTTGTGCAGAGTTTAAA